GATCAATGAGTGTACGTATCGAATATTCGTTTTCGTATTTGGACTATTCTATTCCATTTTTTCTCTGATGCAAGTTAAGTTGATAGAAATATATGAGGGTTGGCGGCATGTATATTTTGATAATAATCAGCATACTATTTAACTGGAGTCAGATTTAGGGCCACTAAATTACAACCATCATTGTCGAAGACTTGAGGTTGGTACTTAATCAATGAAATATCACCTTTTTTACATGTTTTCATACACCTATGTCATTAAACGGGAACTTCTTTCATTCTGTTTTTAACTGTTTGAACCACTCAATTCATTGCCTCAAGATGAAAAGTTATGTGTCTGAGAAAAGTTTGTGGTCGACCAAAACTGTCAAAACAAAAATAATGAAAAACTTATTGGAATACGTGAGATGACTAATAATATACAAAATATGAATACAAAAACAAAAATAATGGTTTTTACTTATGTTTTCAGTTGGAAGTGTGTTGTGTTTTTATATGCGAAATTTGCAACTATGATAGGCAATAGTTCTGTAGTGAACAAGGACACAAGTGAGAACAACCGAATGTATGTGAACACAAAATTACAGTATCTCTTAGTAAAATTGAGGATCATGCAGTAAATACTTCATTTACAAAATGTCGCTCAATCGTCTCAGACTTTATTGTTCTTTCATTTCCACACCAGTCATTCTCTTTTCTTCGACTTCTTAACTTTCTGTCGCCAAGTATTTCACTTTCAACTCCTGATACATGCTGATAATATCTGTCGACATTCGTAGAACTGGACACAGTCCCAAATACAATATATATACATGAATATGTATAATCTAGGATAATATGTATCAAGGATAACCGAGTAATAACGTTATCAACGGAATCTTTAAACATATACGGGGATTATATTAGAGATCTGTTTATGTGGCACGTGATTTAGAAGAAGCAAGATGTGCGTGTGCAGTAATGCATTTGTGAACGATAATCAGTGTTGTGCAAGCAGAAGTGAAATTTAAAAACTAACATTTCAATCAATAAAAGCGATTGTGCAAACTCAGTGGACTTGTGAAAAACACGAATAATAACTGCCACATCCAAGTTTTTGCTCGTTCCAGTTGCTGAAGTACGATATATCGATCTATTTGCAATTTACAAACTCAAATTGACAATAGAATCAAACTCCATTTTAGGTACCAAAGTTTATTCGCAACTTACAAATAGTCGACCCAAATGTCGTTCTAACAACAATAATTATAACAATCGCAAAACAAACCAATTTAGTAGGTTCCCGGAGCAAAAACATCTAAATACCAAAACAAAGACAAAGAGAAAACAAAATGACCAAAAATAATGATATACACAAACAGATTCAGAAGCTGAGTAAAAAATACATCCAAGAACACAGTGAAATTAAGAATATTTAATATAAAGGTTTAAATCAACCGATTGTCTTCAGTTTTTCTGCAACAATAACAACAATTGCCTTCGAAATAATGATAAATTATTTGAGAATAATTTATTGGCTAACTTCGTCACAGGGTTAAGAACTCACAGAGATTTCATGAAAAATTATTCGCAAGTCCTTATAACTTTTTATTAAAGACCAGAAGATTAGCGACCAATAACGACGGTGACGCAGCTAGCCTTTTGGCTGAACAATACCTTCGGAAATTTCAACCGACCCACATCAACTATATTGATGAAAGCTTCGTTTGCAACTGCACAGGACTTTCCGGAGTGAATCAGAGCGCTGACTTGGTGTACCACAAAACGCAGCACCTAAGAAAAGATACTTAATAATAATAATTTATTCTTAAATAACAGTTTGTTACATGAGGCATGCAAGTTTACAGGCAAGATCAAATTGTTACAAATGATACAATATCCACTGTAGTAAATTACTTAGCTGGGTTGACAATTTATAAGATATGAATGTAGATAGTTTTAATCAGTTTCACATTTGGCGCGCTTCATGAAAGCTGCGTTGCGAATGTGCAACTGTTGGTCAAGGATAGGTCCATTGAAGGTGGGAGCTTCTATATGTCGCAACCTTATGTCCCTTTTTAATGTCTAAGGCTTTGAGGATGGTGCAGGATAAAATCTTTTGTTCCATATCACAAGGGGGCTGAAAGAGGGAGCAAGTAAAAGAAAACACGAGGGCAGAGTAGCCAATATTCATGAAGGAATGTTTAAGGTATGATTACTCAGTCTAATTTTCTGTTATTAAGGTACTTGTTAAGAAAAAGCATTTTAATAGGTTAAAGAAAATAAGTGTTAACAAAGTATGAGCGGACATGCAACTGACAAATGGAGGCGATCAGGAAAGGAGCTGAGAGTATGGGATTATGTGTGGTTATAAAATAAAATAAAGTGCTAGAAACAGTATTGCAATATACAATTGGCTATCTTCCTTTTATTATCGAAGCCAATGTAGCCCTTTTCATTTTTTTAAATTTTTTTTTCAGGTATCATAGGGTCTTGAGTAGGCTTCGTATATTAGCGAATTGTCTAGTTTACTTGTAATAGGATTACTGGGTAGGAAGTGAAGCCAATTCAACGTTCGTAACACGATTTAAAGAGGTATATTGAGTGATAAATCAGCATCAATACCATAAGTTCGTGACATCCCACTTCACCTGGCCCGGATATGGTTCATTCTGCCATACTGAGGGAAGCAGCTTCAATCCTGGTAACACCGCTTAGCGTGATGTTCCTGTTGGAATGATCCACAAAACTTCTCGCAAAAGACAAGAAAGGCTCAGGAAACACTAAGAACTCATTTCATCCTATCAGCCTCCATTTGAAGTTTTAACCAGAAACATCAAGAAAGTGAAAAAAAAGGTTTTTTATTGGCTGATTATTATACTGTACTATGTTTAGTAGCATTTCGCAATCTTCGGGAAACCCAAGGACACCTTCAAATACTATGAAAACCCCATATTTTCTGTATTAAAATGAAACTTCCGAGTAAATTACTTCTCGTATACTTTGCGCCTTCTCTCTCATGTTCAGGTCGCTGTGTATTTCTAGCTTGGTAGTTACGAGAATAGCTTAGGAACCGGATATAACGTTCAATTAACAAGACCTATCAGTTCTCACACTGGCTAAGCCAAGGCAAACTACCAGAAATTCGGAGACCGTCCCACATCACACCAGTTTTCAAAGGAGGTTGACGTTGCGAACTTTCAAGCTACCGACCGGTGGTCCTTTTCTCTATACCTTCAAACATTATGGAGTATTTAATATGCGACGGTATACATGAGTATTTATTACCCTCAAACGTCTTTTCACCTCAACAGCATGGTTTCAGGAGAGGTCATTCTCATATAACCAACTTGCTGACCGCGGTAAACAGATAGACAACCATCCTTGATCACAAGAGGAAGGTTGTTGTCATATATCTTGACTTCTCAAAAGCGTTTGATAGATTCAACCACATATGTCTTATCAATAAACTCGAACGACTAGGTATCAAACCGCCTTAAGTTGATTGTCCCACTTCATATCTAAAAAAGAAACATTTTAAGATAAGGGTTAACTTCACTTTCTCTCGGGCTATGGAATGCCTCCGTGGTGTCTCCTTGGTTCAGTACTAGGACCTCTTTTTTTCTTGACTTTTATAAACGATCTTCCACAATAGGTATCGTCTGACTTATTGCATTTTGCTGATGATATGAAACTTTGGGAGAGACACGCAACCAAGAAAATAAACTGGCACTTCCGGAAGATCTGACTCGACTACAAAGTTGGGTAGATGACAATGAGACATGTTGCAGACAACAGTTACAACTTAGGAAACTTCTCTCTAGAAATATCTCAAGTTGAAAAGTATTTAGGAGTGCTGGTACCCTATGATTTGAAGTCTTACGCTGTGACAAAAATGTCTTTCGAGAAAACCTTGCACTGGTTACATTGGAGTGCATTTTTGGCCAATTTGAGGGCAAAACTTTCCACATAATCTTCAACAGCTTTATTCGTCCCCACTTCAAATACGGAAACATAATATCTACTCCCTCACTCCAAAAGGATATGGACACTTTGGGGAGTATTTAACGGCGAGCCACGAAATCAGTTCGGGGACTCAAATCCAAGCCTTATGAAAAGCGCACTCAGTCAATAGACCTTTACCCATTGGACTATAGGCGTCTTAGAGGTGACCTTCTAGGGGCTTACAGTAGTCTTAACATTTCTGGACATCCCCTAAATCATTTACTTAAGTTTATCTCCAACACAAAACTAAGGGGTGAAGATGCCACAGGTATTCGGAGTTTGACAACGCTTAAATCAGTAACACCTAATATGAATCGTACCCACCAAGTGAAATCAAAAGACAGAAGCGAGGAGGTTAGAAGATATATTTGATAGACTATCAGTATATAGAGAATCGTCTGATCTAATCTGGATAGCGATTGCAGGGGATGTTGAGCACGGTGTTCCCACCCATGATCTGGTGCGGATGCATGACCGAGCGCCCTCGGCTAGGTGAGTCCACTAAAACTAATGTGGTCAGCATCCAATGTCGAAAACTTACAGAGCTATTTATTTTGAGAATTTATTTACCGCTACATGAGTAACACCCAGAAACTAGAGACGAAGCACAGCGGAAAGGACTGTAGACTCAACTTCTACGCTTTAAGAGTTATCAAATGCTGGAATTCGCTGCCGGTTGAGCTTGTTCAAGCGACTTTTTAGGAGTCCATTAAGAGGCAATTTGACGTATTCTTGAGGACTAAGGTTAATATCTTCCTGTGACCCCCTGCTACTTGACACGGAAGCCTGTTAGGCGAAAGCTTCTTCTATTTCGTCCACAACCATGTTAACCATTTGGACCATTTTGATTTACCAATTTGTTTTTCCTCTATTATAGTTAACATACCTAGGTTCTCGCTCTGATTTGTTGGTGATCTACTGCTACTAGACACGAAAGTACGTTAAGTGAACGCTTCTTCTATTCCATCCACAATCATTTGAACCATCTGAACACAGTATGTTTAAAATATTCGAAAAGGCGAAAACTATGCTTTTGCGGATTTTCAAAGGTTTCCGTTACTGTGGGTTTGTCAACATCCCTTGTCTTAAATAGGTAGATCGATAGTTGGCTGGTCCGCGTTGATATTCACAGTACGTATATTAATCAAAGTCGGTCTTCCCTTAGGTCTTCATTAGTAAAATGAGCAGCATTTATCTCATCCCTGAGTTTCTGTCACTAACCCCTCAGTTTACATTTTTTTACGGACTGATCAAAAACCATGTTGGGTATAGCAAAAAATATCATGAAGGGGGAAGAATACATTTAAGTAGAAGGTCTCATGTTCTATTGTATAATATCTTACATTTAGCCTCGCCAGATTTTTATCTGTGCTCATTAAAAGGAAATCAGAATTCCAGCCTGTGTACATACGATTATGGCTGGTAATCTCTTTGTAGTTACTTTGAGTGTATTTAGTTCATTTACCCTTTTTAATTTAAATGTAGGAGACAGGAATTTGACCTTACAACTTCTTGATGATACTTTGTTGGACAGCTGAAGAGTAAAGAAATTAGTCAGATATGTTTCTACGTTTAGCCAAAGTTGAAATTTTAATAATATCGCCTTCATAGAACTGCTTTCATTCCACTGTCAATGTTAAGATAACGCCTTTTGAGTTATTTGAGCTTGTATACGCTTTGATTGTCTGGTCGATATTCGTCAGGTTCTTGGATCATGATAAGCTAATTTTCCGATGCATAACGATGAAATATTTCATCCCTATCGCGGAATATCCGTGGATTATCCACTTGGCTTGCGTTTAGGCCAGTCATGACGCAGATCCTGGTTAAAATTAGCTAACCACAGTCGTTTCTTGCAAATCAAAAAGTTTTGGTTTGGGCGGAATACCAACGAACTGACAACGACGAAGCGTACAGGCAATATAAACATATCAGGAACATATGCACGAAGGCTATAAGAGATAGGCTTCAGTACCAGACAAAGCTTATGGACAAATTTGCCTCTAATCCTAAAAGCTTATTCCGTTATGCAGCCTCTTTTCGTCAATCCAAAACGAGTTTCCCAACTGGTAGGTCTTAACGGCCCGACCAACAACGATGGCGACACCGCCAACCTTCTGACTGAACATTACTCCTAGACATTTCAACCTGCCGACATTAACTTTACTGATGACAGTTTCGTTTGCGATTCCACAGGACTTTCCGAAGTGAACCTAAGCGCTGACTTGGTGTTCCGGAAACTGCAGCACTTAAGATTAGACACTTCTGCTGGCCCGGACATGGTCCATTCCACCATACTGAAGGAAGCAGCCTCAATCTTGGCTACGCCGCTTAGCGTGATGTTCTCACACTCGCTAAGCCGGGGAAAACTACCGGAAAATTGGTGGCTGGCTCACATCACATAAATTTTCAAAGGAGGTCGATGCAGCGAACCTTCAAGTTACCGACCGGTGGCTCGTCTCTCCATACCCTCAAAAATCATGGAGTCCCTGATATGCGATGGTATAAATGACTATTTACTGTCCTTAAATTTCTTCTCACTCCAACAGCATGGTTTCAGGAAGGGTTACTCTTGTATTACCAACCTGCTGACTGCGGTGGACAGATGGACAAGCATCCTTGATCACAAGGGGAAGGTTGATATCATCTACCTATATTTCTCAAAAGCTTTTGATAAGGTTAACCACTTGTATCTTATCAACAAGCTCAAACGACTAGGTATCAAACCACCTCTAATCGATTGGCTTACTTCATACCTGAAAAATCGACATTTTAAGGTCAGGGTTAATTTCACTTTATCTCAGGCTATGGAATGTCCTAGTGGGGTCCTCCAGGGCTCAGTACTAGGGCCTCTTCTCTTCTTGATCTACATAAATGATCTTCCTCAACAGGTAACGTCAGACTTATTACTTTTTACCGACAACGTGAAACTTTGGAGAGAGATACGCAACCAAGACGATATACAAGCACTTCAGGAGGATCTAACTCGAATTCAAAGTTGGGCAGACGATAACGGACTTACCTTCAACACTTCAAAGTGTAACGTAGTCCATCTGCGACATGTCGCAGACTACAGTTATAACTTAGGTAACTCCTCTCTAGTAGTATCCCAAGTCGAAAAGATTTAGGAGTCCTGGTGCCCTACGATTTAAAGTCTTACGCTAACTGTGACAAAAATGCCTTCCGAGCAAACCTTGCACTGGTAACATTAAAGCGCATTTTTGGCCAGTTTGACGGAAGAACCTTCTATATAATCTTCAATAGTTTTATCCGTCCCCATTTAGAGTACGGAAACATAGTATTTCCCCCCTCATTCCAAAAGGATAAGGACGCCCTGGAGCGTATCCAACGGCGAGCCACGAAATCAGTTCGAAGACTCAAATTTAAACCTTACGAAGAGCGCCTCCATTCACTTAACCTTTACCTATTAGAGTATAGACATCTTAGAGGTGACCTGATGGCTTATAGTATCCTTAACACTTCTGGACATCCTCTGAAACACCTACTTAAGCTTAGTTCCAACACTAACCTAAGAGGTAACACCCAAAAACTGGAGACACAACATAGCAGAACGAACTGTAGACACAATTTCTACTCCTTAAGAGTTGTCAAATGCTGGAGTTCGCTGCCGGCCGAGCTAGTCCAAGCGACTTCCCAGGAGTCCTTTAAGAGGCAACTTGATCTATTCTTAAAGACTAAGGATAGTATCGCACTATGATTTACTAATATCTTTTCCTGTTTTATTGTTAACATACCTAGGTTCCTGCCTGAAGGATTTGGTGATCCCCTGCTACTAGACACGGAAGCCTGTTAAGCGAAAGCTTCTTCTATTCCGTCCACAACCATTTGAACAACACGTTCTAGCGGCTGCAGACAATCATTTTTACGATAGTAGCCGATATCGGTCTAGGATAAAAGAATCAGTTTGTGACGGTGCTGTGAATAAGGAATATCTGCGTATGACTAGTATATTCTGACTTATCAAGACTTTGTGAGTGAGGTCATGGAGGTTGTGTAACTGAGTATCGTATGACAATTTTAGTCTTCCTACCAGTTATCTTCAAGCCTTCGACATCAAATAAAGGACAACTTGATGTCGAGTCACTTAGCCACGCAGTCACATTGGAAAGTAGATTGACAGAACCTTATCGACACTGAATGTTAGATAAAATGTGATCTGCTACTACTCAGGGATCAATTAGTGTCACTAGTATCGTTGTCATGACAGTTTAGCGGCCATCTCTCTGATCTCTAAGTGCCTTTGTGCAACCGAGGCTGTGATTAGCCTGCTCGCTCTCGAAATGCTCTTAAATACTCCTATATACCCACTTCCTGAAAAGTCCTACTCACTGCTTCCTTTCGGTAGGGATGTCGTTTATGGGATTAAGAGGACGAGAAACAAATATCCGGGTTGTTGAATGTGGAGGATTCACCTAGGAAAGTTGGAAAACCCTGATTTTAAACTAATGGTGCACATAGGCTCCAAGGTTCTAAGAGATCGAATGGTATATTAACCTATCCTAGGTCACAGGCTACCATGGGATCGCATCTAACGTTGCCCCATTGCCTTGTGGATAAGGCCTCTAGGCCAAAGGCTCGGGGAGTGGCTCTCTAAGGAAACAACCTGGTTAGGTTTAAGGACTCGGGTAGTATTCTAGCCCACACAAATATAAAACTGATTATCAATGAAGGAAATAATTTTACTCACTTTCGCTACCTATACAAATGACTTGTAAGTACTTAATTATATCCAGATTTATTCTACGCTTCATCCTTTTGTTCTTTTTCATTACCTCCCTGTACTTATTTTTGTTTCTCAACTCACTAAGCTCTTCGCCTATAGTTAAAATCCTATTCTATCTAAAAAAAACCAAGTCACAGATTCTCATTAGGAATGTTTATCCACCTAGATTCGTTGATAGCAACTTAACACCTAGACACCATCATGAAAAAGCACATACAGTACAAAAGAAAACCCCTTTTTATGAATATGGAATTTAAAGGAGATAAGGCTGCTGAAATCCTAAATAAACGGATTTCAAAATCGTTGAATGAAACATTCTACGCAGCTAAGCTCTGGATTGTTTTCTCGAGCCAGCCTACTTTTACAACACTGGGAGAAGCTCATGTCTGCACTCCTGGTGGTCAGCAGTTAGGAGTAGTTGAATGATTCATGTACCTGGGTGGCTGCCTGAGTGCTTGTGCTAACGTGACTGGTAAGATTTGATGTTAGGCAGGCTGTAAAAGGTCGGGTTTGTAACGCGTCGGTGAGAGCAGTTTTGCTCCATCCTTGTGAAAGCTGCCTTCTCGGAATCCAGGATGTTAGGCAACTCGTTGTCTCTGAGGAATTGCTGACATCCAATGTTAAAATTATTTTAGTGATGCGGAGGTTCGGTGTTGTGTACTCAAACACAGTGGCAATGATTCCATTATTGTCACCATCTTGAAACACTGATTCTGGTGACTTGAAAATGTGATTCAAATATCGTCCTAGCGACTTCCACGTCCCATCTTATTTGCCAACTCTGGGACCGGCTGGAAATAGCGGAAAGGTGATCATTTTATGACTTGTTGTATGGGTACGAAAGAAAGCTGTACTGGATTGGGACCTGTTGGTTGTTTATAACTCTTTGGCTGGGGTCCTAGACATAGTGCAACTCAGCGTCTTGAGAAATTATCAAACATGGCTCAGAACAGAACCCAATGGCAATCATACTGTAGTTCCTTTTTAAAAGTGAGGGGAACTTTGTAACTAAAAGGATTCTTTTCGATTGTATTTTTGTTAGCGAAACTGCTCTCATTACTTACTGCTCTCGTTCACTTGTTTCCATCTACTTATTGTTTTTGACTATACTAACCTTCCACTATCTCTTCATAATCTCATTGTGTAGCGCATGTATGTTTTGGTGCCCATTTGTACCAGTATTTATATGCTTAAATAACAATAATGAGATCTCTGAGCTTGCTTATAGGGTGTAAAGACAACCGATAGTCTACATAAAGTTAGTGATCAAAGTAGAGTATTCGGTCTGTATTCAGTTTTTCATTGACGCACTATAAGCATACGAGGTTATTCTGTTCACGATCAACTGACGTAACTTAAAGTCAACCACATTGATCCAAATACATATTTATTTTTCTTTCGTCCTAAATCTAAAATCTTAGCATTATGTCATTATTTTAATTTTCCCACCTCATCTGTACTCTTGGAACCATGTTTCAGGTTTCCGCCCCATGCAGTAGAACTCCGCCTGGAGCCCCTCTGAGACTATTGCGGTCCTAAGCCGGGATAAAGGAGGAGAGTCGGGCATAGGGTTAGCGACCCCTTCCCGTAGAAAACTAACTCGCCAAAAGAGCGCTGACCAAAAAAAATTATTCCGTACACTAATTTGACTTTTGTTTATGTGTGTATATGTGTGTGTTGACCAGGTCGTAGATACTAACTTATATTCTTTCAAATAATTTGACGTCATTAAGCAATACACATAAGAATATAAATATTAAAATGTATTTTTTTTCTTTTTTTTAGTTTATAATCAATGTCAACGGAAACTTCTAGTTCTATATCATTAAAAGGTTCTGCTGAATTATTAACAGATTATTTTTGTATGTTTATCTATTCAATTTGCTAATATTATTCTTTATTAGTTTATGCATTAAATAGTATTTTATATCAACGTGGTATTTATCCATCAGCATCATTTAAACAAAATATTAAATATGACTTAAGTGTACTTGTTACAACGGATGAAAATCTTATCAAATATTTAAATGTTATATTAAATCAAGTAAAAAGTAATGTTTAATAGAAATTAATTCAATGAATACCATTCTCTCTCTATATATATGTGTGTGTGTTAAGATTGGTTAGAAGATGGAAGTGTACATCGACTTGCATTAATAATTAAATCAGTAAAAACTGATGAAGTATTAGAAAGATGGCAATTTGATATGACAACTGAAAAAACAGATACTGGGTAAGTTTGTAATATATTTATTTTTTTGTCGTGTTTTTTTTGTTTTTTTCTTTTTTTTTCTCTCTCTCTCTCTCTTTAGTAATTCAGTTGGAACAAAATCTTTAGCACAAATACAAAGTGAAATTCAAGGTGTAATACGTCAAATTGTTGCTTCAAATACATTTTTACCAGTATTAAATAGTTCATGTAAGTATATTTATACTTTTATGCTTAAACTTATTTAATGTGATTAATTCATTATTAAATTAGTTAGTTGATCATGAATACAGTGAACATGAGTGCTGTTCGAGATATAAGGGCGGTTATCACTTCCCGGATACCCACACTGTGAAAGGGTTCTTCTGGAGGTACCTGAAAAGGAAATTAGATTAGAGGTGGTCTTAGTAATCTGAGAGCGTGATCGCAATGTCCAAGGAACAACTATTTAAGGTCGGTCACACATGACTTTAGTGAGTAATTTATGTGTTAGCTCGGTACTTATTGAGACCTTACCACTGAAGACGGATATCTGTGGGATAAGGTGAGGTATGCATTTTTAGGGTCGAACGTTTCTAACCCCACCCCTCCTTTTGGGAAGGCAACATCGCTGTTATGCTGGTTGTCTGAAGGCAACACCTTACTACTGTCACACCCCTGTATAGTCATCAGTACAACTTCGCTTTCGCACCTTGGGTTTGCTGCTTTTAGTCTTACCGTTCTTCAACCGACCTGTCTGGTATGGCAGGACCTTGAGAAACGATTTTTCCAACCAGTATAGCTCGATTGATTCATCATGATAGGCAAGCTCGATCATCACGTCAAGGTAGCAACTGCTTTTATGAGTCCGGTGTTCGTCTTGCTATGCTAACGAGGTATAGCAACTTGGACCGATGGATATATGTACCTGGTCCTACGTTGTAATCGACTGAAAATAGTTAGTTTACACATTAATTAGACAGTATTTAAAACTATTATTTTGCTTATTTTTTAAGTGTATAAATCTATAGATAATTAGAAGCAAAAAACAATACTGCTCTGATTTTTCAGTGGTAAAGGGATCAAATAAGAGATCCTAGAGAAATTGTAATTACTCATAAATCATCAATGTTGATGAACTTATCTATTTAATTAGTAAGATATATATATGTATTTGATTAACAGGCACTTTTGAATTACTAGTCTATGCTGATCGAAATGCAAATGTTCCTACTTCTTGGGAGGAAACTGGTCCACAATTCATTGTTAACTCTACAGAAATCAAATTACGCTCAATCTCTACAACATTACATAGAGTTGATCATACAGTCTCATATAAACGTTCAATTTGATAGACATGTTTTGTTTTGTTATTGTTCTAACTGGAGAAATCTGAGATTATTATTATGATTATTACTATTTTTATGAAAGTAAATATACTTTTTCAAGAAGAAGTTTGTTAACCTTTTTGTCATTGTAGATGAATGTTGTAATGTATGGGTAAAATATGTTCAGGGATTGGGATTCATTTATGTCTGTTTTCCATACATTTATTTGATGTCATAGTTTATTTATTAGAATATTATGTCAATAGGTCAACTTCAGTTGTCATTCATGTTTATTTCATATATGTGTACACATGTTAATCAGTGATTTAACCAGTTACTTTGTTGACTAGTTTTTATCAATTTTCGGTAGATGAAAAGAGGGGGGAATTAATTCATAACGAATCGGATATAATCTGTTCGCTGAATAAAGCACTACGGAATTCGGGAGAGACTCAGTTCTTACGTCGTTTAGTTGACTTTTTAGTGGTATAATTCTTAATAAAGTTAGTTGGAAGTTCAAGTACTAACAGATGAGCCAAAAGATTCCATGGTGTAACAATACAAGTTAAGTGAATAAAAGCAAAATTAGATCGTAATGATAATGAAAAAAGTTAGCAGAATAAAGGAATTAAGTACAAAACCTTAGTTTCTTACAATAAAAAAACAAAGGTAACTCTAATCTGACTTTTGATAAATATTCTAGACAAGCTTTTCAATGTCTGTTCCATGTGTGAAAAGACTGTAGACTTTTCAATATTTTATGATGTATTATTCAACATTTAATTCTTATTTACCCAAAAACTTCTCCATTCTCATATGCTTGTTTTCTTTTAAATAGTAGTGAGTAGATCTTCGTTCATATCGCTTTTACTTCAATATGTGTAACAGCATAGCTCACCGTATTCGTATGCTCTGACGGAAAAAAGTAATTATTAGTTGTGGTGAAAATACTCCGTATACAGAGAGCATAAGTTCGAAGATAAGATAAAGGCATTTTACATGACCCTGAAAGAAAATGTATTTTCGAAGCAATCTATAGATAAAAACATAGCCGATAAAAGACAGCATAGAGAATGCCTAACAGTGAATAAAAAGCCTCTATATATACGCTTAAAATTCAGAGGCGATGCACCTAGTCAAATGCTAAGACTGAAGTTACGGAGGTCAATCCAAAGAAATTTTAATGCAGGTATATCACAGTTAATGTTTTTCACAAGTCCAATGAAAACTCTGAGGTTGAAAGATCAATTGTCTCGACTAGTTGCTTCTTTCTGTATCTATCAATTCAAATGCTCCTGTGGAGCACGTCATATTGGCAGATGTTCTAGGAATTTGTATATTCGGTCTCGTGAGCACCTCCCAGTGTGGTTAGGCGAAGGTGTAATTAAAACAGTTAACAGCTCCATTTTAATCCATTTAATTCAGATGGGACATACAGCCAACATGGAGCAATCTTTCGCAATATACCGTGTTAACAACAGTCTACCTAATTCCGTCAGGCTGAGAATCATGCAAACGGTTGAAGCAATTGCTATTCAAATAAAAAAGCAAGAGTTTTGCATCCAAAAGAAAGATGTTCAGCCGCTCCTTTTTTTTACCCTAACCAACTAGTTAATAATCAATTTTATGACATGGTGACGTAATTTGATTAATGTTCATTTTTATATCCTCAACTTATCTCACCATTACCATTATTATTATTATTATTATTACACTTGATAACCTTTTCGAGAAACTTATTCAACATTCAATCTTATCTATAATATCCAATCTAATTCATATTATTCTATATATTACGTAATTTCTAAATTGTAATTACATTATTCTCTCCCTCTTGCCCCATATTGATCATATTTATTTTGATCATTTATCTCACAATTTGATTTCACTTATAAACTGATTCAAGTTAACAACTTTATATTAATCAAGCCCAATATTAACAATTTGATTTGATTTTAAATGATATGATGATCTGGATTTATGATTGTAGAACCTGATTAGAAATTCATTGAGAAGAATATTCTTCGTTCATAAGAATTGTGTTATGCGATTAAAATTGTTTTATTAAAGTCACAAAACTTAGGGCCTAATGATAATGCTTTTAACTTATTCTTATCTAGCATAACACTAGAAAAATTGTGTACATACTGATCTAGATTAGATGGAAACTTCATTTCTGGAATGTTTGTCTAGATTTTTTATTGGGTTTCATTCTTTTCTTTTCTTGAATTAACAACTAGCTCAACATAGTTCAGATATTGTTCTCTTAATTTATCACGGAGCTCTTCTACCGCGTAAATTCTCTCGTTGACATTTTTTATCATCTCGGCAATATATAAGTTTAGAGAATCGATTTGATTATAAACGCGTAGCGTTTGAGAGTCCTACCATTTGGTTGAATTCTAGAGCGACGTAAAGAATTCTAATATATTTTTGGATACAAGTTGGTTTCTATGCACTCCTTTATAAAATCAACATTTGTCTTCCCTTCACTGAGCCTTGCGCTATAATTCAGATACTTTTTGAGAACATTTAATGCAACTGTTTGCTCAGAACGTTTCAATATAGTGAAAATTGTAATTGAAAAGGAAAAGTTCAATGTGATAATATAAAATGTTAAAATTAATATGAACTGTAATCAGGAGATTTCATACCAAAGAAAATTATTTATATGAATGTTGATTTCAAAGAATGACGTAGCTACAGACATCTTGGAAATGAGAATTTCCGTTCCTCTATCTCAATAGAACGTGCTTTGCAAAAACTTTGCTATTAGCAAGAATCGGAAGGATAAATTACCCCATGTATATTATTCAGTTTACTTGTTCATGTAAAGCCAGGCGTATAGGTTGTTCGATGCGTATCACCTGACCTAACTAAAAAAAGAGTCTGAAATAGCTTAATAATCGAACACTTTGTGAACGTAGGTCATTCAATCAAAATGAACTCTGTGTTCATAGTCATCTACAAGGTAGGAAGAAAGCTGCCAAAAGCATTTAGCCTCCATCATCTCAGCATTGTCGAATCATTTGGAAAGATTAGAAATATCTATACAGAAGGAACTTGTACAACCTTTTCGCCTATTATGGTCTTGAGCTCTTGTGGGTTGTTTTTTCATAGTTAACTGCCTCCCTTCTAACGTTTACATGCAACTAATTTGGTCCTGCTTCTATGATCCATCCCGATCGTAATTGCATCTGACCTCAGTTAACTTCGTATATTATATTTGTATATTTATTCAATCCTGGATATTTTATAAAAAGATTATTCTGTGTAATATAGAGAACGTGGGAGACTTAGTCATATATTGTCTTATTCCGTTATTATAGAAAATGGAAAGTTGTACTTTTGTGTTATTATTAAATATAAATTATTCGCCTAACTTACAACTTCTTGCCTTATTTGTTTCTTATAGCAGAACAGGAAGTGAGTACATTAAGACTTATGCAGTCAAAGTAAAATAAAATGTTTTATGGTACTTAAGAATATTAACCTCAGTAATCATCTAGCGCTTAACCAGAGTTCGTGAATAACGAACCCCAGAAAACCAGGGTGCTTACAAACTTGAATCTGGATGTATTGACTAACTATTCGCTATTTTTTAGGTTCTGAAATTTAAACATTAACTGCGGATGGCCAATTACACTGGCATTTCTCGAATTTTAAGCAGCATTCGATTGCATTAATCGATAGGATTTATGGAAGTGTCTGTCATTGAAAGACGTAACAAAACTGCATAAATCTTATCAAGATTGTTTACTCGAGCGCTACTGGTCGAGTCAGAGCTAATAGTGAACTATTATCGTAACTGACAACTTCTAGTGGTGTTCCTCAGGGTTGCCCACTTCCATTTTCATCTAATCTTGTCATATACATTCTTTTAGAGATAACAATTGTTGTCTAGGCTTCCAGGGATCTTCTCTACTACTACTGGTACTATCACTACTTTTACTACCATGGGATTTATGTTGATATGGTGAGGCAACTTGAACCAACTTACATATGTGCCAGGTCCTATGTTGCTTATGACCGACTGACTACAGTACTTGGTCTCGTGTATATATATTATATGATCAAAATGGCTTACGAAATGTATGGACTCATATTTGCTATCAGTTATATTTGAAATATATTGTATACCGTTATGCAATATCCTTAACAAAAGATTAGCTGAAAGTACATTGGATTCCATACTTTAGAGGCACTTATCATATCGTAATTATTCGTCATAAAATAAGGATTACCATACATACTGTAGCCCAATAATTATTGCGTTTCTTGTTTGTTCTTTAAACTTGTCATTGATCAGAGAGTCGTGGCCACTTCTAAGTGTTTTACCGTTTGTAATCCGTATTCAGAAACAAACGTATTGAGTTAAAAAAAGAACCTTACACCTTAGTTCAGCCAAAGACAACCTCCAAACGTCTGTAAAACTTGCAAATAAAAACTAGACAGTTCGGTGTTGAAAAACTGTTAAATTAATAAGTGAATAAGATTTCGGTTTTTGTAATAGGAGTGGATTACTAGGAGAGTTTTAGCGAGAGCAACGACACACTACACAAGTTTTTAGTATATGGGTATTTGTAGAGATTGCAGAATTTTCAGTTTAAGTCAAGAACTGATCTCAATTTGACCAACACTGAAAACCTGGGAGCAACGGATAGCCATTCCATCCTAGTGTATGACTTCTCATTCGGGACCCTCACGGATGTGTACGGTTGAGGAGTCTCATACTAGGACGAACCGGCCGTCCTATACCTCCAGGTTTTTATTGTTGGTCTAATTTTGATCAATCCATGACTTCAATGTGATCCATTTCTACTGTTATTGTAAACATTGCCCATGACTAGTTTAAAGAAGTCATTTGAGATAATTAACAAACAGCCGTCCAGTGCTATCAGGTTTTTAATGGTGGTTTAACATTGATCGATTCATAATCCCAATCAAAATTTCTATAGATTAAGAGAAAAATCAGTTTCTTGATAACATTGTAGAGTGTGGCAATAGGCAGCGCGTGCTTGAATCTAGTTTTTAAAATCCCAGACATATACTAACAGTCGGCCTACCGTGGTGAGCTGGTGGACTTATATTAGCCTTACCATATCAGCAAGTCCAGTTGAAAG